GCGTTTAATATGTTTTAATGTTCGCAGTTCCTTCACCAAATTATAGTTCCTTAACAAGCAGCTTGTTGCTACGTCAGAGTAACGAGCTCCGCCCACTCGCTGCACAGCCAGCAGTTCGTTTTCCAGCTCCTTACACTAAATTCCCAAACTGTCATCACCACTGAGCAGCTTTTCAGTCGGCAGCTGTGACAGAAGAACAGCTAAACAACCTGGAATCAGCCAGAAATGAACCCAACACCATTCGCCAAACTAAATGGGCTGTAAGATGCTTTACAGACTGGCTGGAACAAAACAACATTAATACTGATCTGGCAAAAACTGACAAAACTGAGCTGAACTTGATATTGCATCAGTTTTATGGCTCAGTCTGATTTGGTCAGACTCTGAAGATCAGACTACACGTTTGGCGAATGGTATTGGGTTCATTTCTGGCTGATTCCAGGTTGTTTAGCTGTTCTTCTGTCACAGCTGCCGACTGAAAAGCTGCTCAGTGGTGATGACAGTTTGGGAATTTAGTGTCGGCTGTCGGTCAAATGTGATCTTAAAAGTATCCATTTTCTGTTTGTGACAAAGTAAGGAGTTAAAACAGCTGTCAGAGTTGTTGCTTAGCAACGGCGTCTCAGTGGAGTGATGATATGGTGTTTGTGAAAAAAACGTGATGTTATGGTGAAATAACAGCACAGTTAGAACGTTTCTCAACCAATCAGCTCGCGTGGCCGGAACTAACTGTTGTATAATGTATTATATAAGTGTAAATCATTTGAGTTATGCTGTCACGCTTCATTTCAGTCCCGCTGTTACTACTTACCTGCCTCTGGACTCCATTTCCCAGAACACCCCCCACCTGATCACATGACTCCAGATCTACCTACCTGTTAAGCTCATTATACAAACCCCCACAGTTTGTTTGCTCTTTGTGAAGTATTGCCTTTGTTTTGCAGAGCCTTACTGAGCCTTCCAGTCCGTTAGTTTGACTCTCCTTGTGTGACCATTGCTTTGTTTGTTTGTGACCTTGTCTTTTGCCTAGCCTTCTTAGTATTGTTGGCATTTCTGGTTTGACCTTCTTTCTGGATTTTGGACTCTGTTTTTAGGACATCCCTCATATTTACTGTTTCCTTGATTTGGCTATTGACTTTGGACTGGTTGACCTTGATTTTTGATGCTTCTTTTTCTTGTAAACCTGTTTTACTTCAGTGTGGTCTGCAAGCGTCTGAATTCTGTCCGAGCCTGACGTTTACTATGGCTTATCATCAATACTTTGAGTCTAACTGAGCAATAGCAAGCTAGAAAACGTTCACCTAACTCCTCATTTCCCTTCAAACCAAATTCTGGGACCCTAATCCAAATGCAACATTCAAACCAGAGATCTCTGTCGCACCATCCAACACACCTCTAAATTTCAAGATCATATTAAAAAGTGAAAGTTGAATTAATCTGTGAATGTTAAATAAAATACTAAATATTGACCTACATAATAGACAGCGACACTAATGTTTATGCTGGTAATGTTTGAGCATTTTCTCTTTGTTTACTTAAGTTTTTAGTTAATTACCAGGAATATTTTGAGTTTAAGTTAGTAAACCTGGTCATTGTCACTGTTTTGTTGATGGATACAAATCAGTAAATGATCAGTTTATCTAGGAAAGTAATACATAAACAAGAGCACTTTAATAAATGCCGGGTATGGCCTCCTCTTGCTCTCAAAGCAGCTTCAGTTCTTAGTGGCAAGATTTTGGATACTGAGAGAATCAGGTCAGGCATCATCAGGTGCACTTTCATGTTGTGAATCTCCCGTTCTACCACATCCCAAAGGTGTTCTATTGGATTCTGATCTGGTGACTGAGCCACTGAAGAACATTGAACTCATTTTCATGATCATGAAACCAGTTTGCTTTGTGACATGGTGCATCATCATGCTGGAAGTAGCCATTAGTAGATGGCAAAATGTGGCCATGAAGGGATGCACATGGTCAGGTACAGCACTCAACAGGCTGTGGCATTCAAGCGATGATTGATTGGTATTAACAAGCCAAAAGAGTGCCAAGAAAGCATGCCCTACCCCATTACACCACCTCCACCAGCCTGGACTGCGGACACAAGGCAGGTCTGGTCCATGGATTCACTCTGTGTGCCATCTGTTTGCATCAGTAGAGATTCATCAGACCAGGCAATGTTTTTCTAGTCTTCAGCTGTCCAGTTTTCTGAGCCTATGCCCACTGTGGCCTAGCTTTCTGTTCGTGGCTGGCAGAAGTGGAACCCAACGTGGTCTCCTGCTATTGTAGCCCATCCACCTCAAGGTTCAAGATGCTTTTCTGCTCACCAGTTGTACAGAGTGGTTACTATATATATATATATATATATATATATATATATATATATATATATACAGCAAAACACTCAAATGTTTTACCTATAATTACCTTGGCTACTTGGTGGTCATCCTCACTATAGTGATGTCCCTGGACCTTAATGCTGACTAGCTGAAAAGGTATTGCTAAGCATTTAGTCTTGCTTTGCAGAAAGAATAAAACATACGTTACATTTTGCCATGTTTTTGTCATTTTGTGACATTGAAAAAGATGTCAGAAGTTCAGACTTGAACCTACTGAAATAAAATGTGAATGTATTACATATATTTACATATAATTATATCGCTGCGGTCGGAGCAAACCTTGTATTTCCATTTTTGTCATTTTTCAGTTTTTGACATAATTTAAAAGTACCTGTGGCCCTTTACATTGCATATAAATTTCATGATAAAATAACCAAAAGAACCCAAAATTACGTGGGAAAAAGTCTGGTTATATTGACCTACATTAAAACCAAAGGATGTTTTTTCCTTCTCCTGTAAAGTTATAATTTTGGAGATATGAAGTTTTGCTCCGACAGCAGCGATATACAATTTATAGATATATATGACATTAAATGAAATATAAATAATGACTAATAATGTACTATATTTCAATTTAAATTATTCATAGCAAAATGACAATAATAACCCAGAGTTTAAGGGTTAAGGAGATATGCAGGGCTGTGTGGTGCTGAGAGAAGAGGTTTGTGAGATACTCATACACGTGATGCTTGGCTCACAGCCATTCAGGTCTTCAGAGGGAAAAGAGCTGCTGAAAGGGTTTGTTCTGTCCGAGCCCTTTTCTCTGGAGCAGCTGGGGGAGGGGGGGTACATGAAGACTTCCTCAGATGCCCCAGGCTGCACTGCATCACCACTAACTTCTCAGTTGTTTGTGTGCAGACAGCTGTAGCTTTGGTGATGGACATTTCTGGTGTCCCTGCACAGCTGTTTTTCAACTGGAAGGTCTGTGATCTTTCAACCTCTCTGAAAGAAAATGAAGCTTTTACGCTCAAAGCTCTTTTTCAAACAAACCCGAATGCTATGTCGGTGCGCTTTAGCTTTAGGTGATTGTTGGGAGTCTCAAGAATGTTCTCTCCCCTTCACACCGGCTCATTCGGGGTGTCAGTTCTTCATCTGGAACATTCTAAAACTGTTGGATTGATAGTGTTGGTGTTTGGTGGATAATCATGATAGAGAACGCTGGTATTTGGTGAGGACGGTTGATGCTTGTTGGACAACATTGGTATTTGTGAGGGAATGTTGGTGTTTGATGGAGAGTGAAGATGTCCTATGGAAAATGAAGGAATTTGGTGGAGAATTATGGTGTTTGGTAGTGAATGATGGTGTTGGTTGGAGAATGTGGGTATTGGAGGATGTTGGTTGGAGGATTTTGGTGTTTTATAAGGAATATTGGTATTTGGTGCAGCATACTGGTGTCTAAAGGACATTTTTTTTAATTGTGAAGCAAGTTGGCATATAAGTTGGAGAACATCTGTGTTTGTAAAGAAATTGTAGTTTAATGGAGAATGAAGGTGTTTCCATGGAGAATGATGGTGTTTTATGAGTTTTTGGGTGTTTGTTGAAGAATGTTGGCATTTGTAAGGAAATGTTGGTGCTTTATAGACAATTGTGATTAAAGAAGAATGATGGTATTTCCATTGAGAATGCTGGTGTTTTTCAAGGAGTGTTTCTGTTTGTTGGAGAATGCTGGTGTTTGTTTAAGAATGCTGGTGTTTGTTGGAGAATAGTGGTGTTTGTTGGAGAATAGTGGTGTTTGTTGGAGAATGCTGGTGTTTGTTGGAGAATAGTGGTGGTTTTTTGGTAAATGCTGGTGTTTGTTGGAGAATAGTAGTGTTTGTTGGAAAATGCTGGTGTTGGAGAATAGTGGTGGTTGCTGGTGAATGCTGGTGTTTGTTGGAGAATGCTGGTGTTTCTTGGAGAATAGTGGTGGTTGTTGGTGAATGATGGTGTTGGTTGGAGAATGCTGGTGTTTGTTGGAGAATAGTGGTGGTTGTTGGTGAATGATGGTGTTTGTTGGAGAATAGTAGTGTTTGTTGGAAAATGCTGGTGTTGGAGAATAGTGGTGGTTGTTGGTGAATGCTGGTGTTTGTTGGAGAATGCTGGTGTTTCTTGGAGAATAGTAGTGGTTGTTGGTGAATGATGGTGTTGGTTGGAGAATGCTGGTGTTTGTTGGAGAATAGTGGTGGTTGTTGGTGAATGATGGTGTTTGTTGGAGAATGCTGGTGTCTGTTGGAGAATAGTGGTGGTTGTTGGTGAATGATGGTGTTGGTTGGAGAATAGTAGTGTTTGTTTAAGAATGCTGGTGTTTGTTGGAGAATAGTGGTGTTTGTTTAAGAGTGCTGATGTTTGTTGGAGAATAGTGGTGCTTGTTGGAGAATAGTGGTGGTTGTTGGTGAATGATGGTGTTCGTTGGAGAATGCTGGTGTTTGTCGGAGAATAGTGGTGGTTGTGGTATAATTAATATCTACATTCCTTTGATGTTGCTAGAGGATGAGCTGCTCTGTTAACCAATTCTCTGAGGAACACAGGGAACCACATTTGAACCCTTCACTCTTTGGTGAAGTCAAATGTCTTTATCTTTATCTGCGTCAGGTCTGACCCAGACTTTGTGTATCTCTGTGTTCTGCAGTCAGGTCTGATCCGGATGTCAGGTGACGAGTTCTTCATCACCCCGCTGCCTGAGCATTTGGCTTTGGAGCACAACTACAGCGCCCCCGCTGGACACCACCCACATGTAGTTTACAAAAGGTCAGCAGAGCGTAAGGTCCACGGGGACAGCACGGACAGAGCCAGCATTATCCCATCAACAACAAACAAGCGCCAGCGTCATCATCATCTTCATCACCACCAGCATCATCACCATCACCACCACGACTACCGGCATGGGAGGTTTCAGAGGCAGCACTTCTGTGGACGCCGCAAGCAATGTATGTAAGGACACTTTCTCCTTCCTCTGTTTTAATCTGCATGCTTAAGGAAAATGCATTAGGCTCCTACAGAAACAGACCGGTGCCCTCTGAGGCCAGGATAGCTAACGGTTCTCCAAAACATATGAGTTCCATTTGCTTACTGTCTGTTCTACTTAGAACTGTTATTGCTGTTTTTACTGTTTCTTTCTGGACAATTCAAATGTAATTACTAAGGCTGTCATATGATTAAAATGTTTAATCAGGATCAATCATATTTGTACTCAAATTTGACCCTAAAGATTTTTTTTTCCCATATTAAAAGCAGTGCAGTTCTATTACAGCTCTATGATTGGACAAAATAAGCTTCATCAGAATGTATTTATTTTTGCTGTGTAAACACAGAACTTGAACATGAAAATCACAGGAGTTCCACAGAGTGAACGCAGTGTCCAGTTTCATCACCGGCATCCAGTGACAGCAACCGATGAATGTGTATATCATATATATCATACACTATCTGGACAAAAGTATTGGGACACCTACACATCACACCCACAGGAGCTTTCATAAATCCCATTCTAAATCCATAGGCATTAATATGGAGCTGGTCCCCCTTTGCAGCTCTAACAGCTTCCACTCTTCTGGGAAGCTTCTACAAGATGTTGGAGAGAGTCTGTGGGAGTTTCTGCCCATTCATCCAGAAGAGCATTTGTGAGGTCAGACACTGATGTTGGACGAGAGGGTTTGGCTCACAATCTCTGTTCTAGTTCATCCCAAAGGTGTTTTATGGGGTGAGGTCAGGGCTCTGTGAGGGCCAGTCAAGTTCTTCACACCAAACTCACCCAGTCAGGCCTTTATGGAGCTGCTTTGTGCACTGGGACTCAGTCATGCTGGAACAGGAAAGGTTCTTCCCCAAACTGTTCCCACAAAGTTGGAAGTGTACAATTGTCCGAAATGTCTTGGTGCTGAAGCATTAAGATTTCCCTTCACTGGAACTAAGGGTTCTAGACCAACCCCTGAAAAACAGCCCCATATCATCATCCCTCCTCCACCAAACTCTACAGCTGGCACAGTGCAGTCAGGCAGGTAACGTTCTCCTGGCATTCGCCAAATCCAGACCCGTCCATCAGACTGACAGATAGAGAAGCTGATTCATCACCCCACAGAATACGTTTCCACTGATCCAGAGTCCAGCGGCCTGCCATGAAGCTCCAACGCAGTTTTTGTGCTGATGTTGATGCCAGAGGAGGTTTGAACTCTGCAGTTATTGATCAGCAGAGCGTTGATGACTTTTATGCTCTATGCTCCTCAGCACTCGAAGACCCGCTCTGTAACTCTACGTGGTCTGACACTTCATAGCTGAGTTGCTGTGGTTCCTAAACGCTTCCACTTTTCAATAATGCACTCACAGTTGATCGTGAAAAATCTAGGAGAGGAGAAATTTCACAAACTGACTTGTTGCAGAGCTGGAATCTTATTACAGCACCACGCTCAAATTCAGTGAGGTCTTTAGACCCATTCTTTCAGAAATGTTTATTAAGCCAGACTGCATGGCTGGGTGCTTAATATTATACACCTGTGGTGATGGGACTGAACAAAACACCTGAATTCAATGGCTAAGAGGTGTGTCCCAATACTTTTGTCCATATAATGTATCTTATACAGTCAGTGGTTCAGCTCCTCCATGATCATAGCCTCTCACTCTCATTCATACAGTGCGTTGATTTTTGTTACAGTGGAGGATCTCGAGGGGAACAGGAGCTCCACCAAGCTGCTGCTTTTGTTAGTTTGCTGCTCATTGAGTTATCCTTAGCCTTTCTATGAGCAATGTCCGTGAGCATCTTATCATATCAAATTCAAATCATAATAAAATATCTCCTCTTCGACTTACAAACATAAAAGTGGTAGTGATTAAAAGTTTGGAATCTGCACTTTCCAAACAGTTTCTACTTTCATTTCAACCAAATAAGAGTGAGAAATAATTAACACAGTCCAACTGAGCGTCTCACCAAAGATCCACTCTGAGAATCTGGCGACGGCTCTTTAAACTCAAAATGTAAAGCCAGAGGAGTTACAGCATTTTCATGTTCCAAAAGGTGGTTTATTGGACAAGTTAGATAAAAAAATCCTTGACTTTTCAGCTTCGTTAAATCGTGTTATTTGAATACCGAAAAAACGCCATCGTTATTATAAACAGCCGTGTTTTTGTGGTGGCCTTAAACTGTCAATTTGATATTACAGGATGCTTTAGTGACCAACACCAGCGTATCTGTCAGGGCTGATTCCAGATGTGAGATGTAGATTATAATGATGCTTATTGGAGGATTCAGTGTAGAATATGTGATTATTCTGTAGACTTTATAATTAGCATAATTATTATCAATTGCTCTCTCATTGTACCCAGAGGAGCGGCGTCTCTCGCTCTGTTCTGAGTGAATAAAAGGAAACAGCTGGTGAATCAGTGTGAATATTTCCTGCTCACTCAACACCTCAACACCCCTCCCAGCATCTGCTAATCTCTCTCTCTCTCTCTCTCTCTCTCTCTCTCTCTTTCACTCTCTCTGCTTATTTCTGTCTTTCCTTTTTTATTTCTTTCCCTCTTTTTTTCTCTTCTCTTTCTCGCTTTCTTTCTTTGTCTGTCTCTTAATTTCTCTCTATCTTTCTCTGTTGCTTCTCTCTCTCAATCTCTTGCTTTCTCTTCCTTTCTCTCTTTATTTCCTTTTCTACCGCCCTTTTTCTCTTTCTCCTTTTCTCATTCTCTCTTTTGTCTTTCTAAATCCCTCTGCCTCTATCTCTCATTCTCTCCTCCTCTGCCTCTCTTTTTCTTTCTCTCTCTCTCACTCTCTCTCTCTCTCTCTTTCTCTCTCTTTCACTCTCCTTTCCTTTTTTATTTCTTTCCCTCTTTTTCTCTCTTTTCTTCCTCTCTCTCTTTCTTTGTCTGTCTCTTAATTTCTTTCACTGTTGCCCCTCTCTCTCAATTTATTGCTTTCTCTTCGTTTCTCTCTTTATTTTCCTTACTACGGTCCTTTCTCTTTTTTCTCATTCTCCCTTTCTCACCCTATTTTCCCCTTCTCTTTCTCTTTTTTTCTTACTATATTCCTCTCTCTCTCTTTCTATCTGTATTTCTCTCTCTTTCTCTCTCCCTGTCTCTCTCTCTCCTTCACTGCTGTCACTCTCGTTCTCTGCTTCTTTCTCTTTTCCTTTTTTTGTGTTTCTTTCTCTATTTTCTTTCTCTCACTCTCTCTTTCTTTGTCTATCTCTTAATTTCTCCCTATCTTTCTCTGTTGCTTCTCTCTCTCAATCTCTTGCTTTCTCTTCCTTTCTCTCTATTTCTTTTTCTACCTTCCTTTTTCTCTTTCTCCTTTTCTCATTCTCTCTCTTTTTTCTTTCTAAATCCCTCTGCCTCTATCTCTCGTTCTCTCCTCCTCTGCCTCTCTTTTTCTTTCTCTTTCTCTCTCTCTCTCTCTTTCTCTCTCTGTATCTCTCTTTCACTCTCCTTTCCTTTTTTATTTCTCTCTTTTTTCTTTCTAAATCCCTCTGCCTCTATCTCTCGTTCTCTCCTCCTCTGCCTCTCTTTTTCTTTCTCTTTCTCTCTCTCTCTCTCTCTCTCTTTCTCTCTCTTTCACTCTCCTTTCCTTTTTCCCTCTTTTCTTTCTCTCTCTCTTTCTTTGTCTGTCTCTTAATTTCTCTATCTTTCGCTGTTGCCCCTCTCTCTCAATTTATTGCTTTCTCTTCATTTCTCTCTTTATTTTCCTTACTACCTTGCTTTCTCTTTTTTCTCTTTCTCCCTTTCTCATTCTCTCTCTTTTTTCTTTCTAAATCCCTCTGCCTCTATCTCTCGTTCTCTCCTCCTCTGCCTCTCTTTTTCTTTCTCTTTCTCTCTCTCTCTCTCTCTCTCTCTCTCTCCCACAGACACTCCAAAGCCCCCTGCGGATGATCTGTTTATCATGCCTGATGAGTTTGATGCTCCGGGCCGGATTAAACGCTCTCCGATCTCCTCTAATAAAGTATCTAAGGCCGGTGGGCTGAACGTGGAGACCCTGGTGGTGGCCGACAAGAAGATGCTGGAGAAACACGGGCGAGAAAACGTCACTACATACGTCCTCACTGTCATGAACATGGTGAACAAGCCTTTAATACACAGTGTTAATGCTTACACAGCTTTACATATCATTAGGTAACATTTTATTTCAGGAACTCATATTAATGGGAGTTATTAAAGTTGTGTTCTTTGTTCAATGAAGCCCAAATTAGAGCACAATATGCTTTAATCATTATAATCTGTATCAGAACATAACTGGAGGTCTGAGATCTGAAAATCACTAATAAGTGCTTTATTAATAGTAATAATGCACAATAAACACTTTGTTCAGGTTGATGGGTGAAATTATATTCCTGTAGGTTCTAGATAGTGTCAAGTAATTTGTGGAGTTGATAGACCTTATAAGGGTTCAATAAGTCACTAATACCTTAAGATATGTTTTATATTCTGAAGTAGAGTTTTAGTCACTAATTAGAGGCTAAAAATTGCTAAACGAGTTTTCAAGTCAGTTTGCATCCCATATAATACAGTAAAGATACTTTTATGGCTTTTTGGTAGCCAAAAACATTCAAGCTGGAAATATTTAAAGTTATATTTAACAAATTTTAACAACCAAAAGTGAATAAATTGAACTTTTGTATGAAAGAGTGTTCTTTGTTTTTTATTATTGAATCTGCGACTTATTAAAACGTTTTAATTTCTAAATACTTTTGACTACAGCTCTACTTTAGAACACATCTTGCAGTATTAGCAACTTACTAAACTCTTATCAGCTCTAAAGTAATAAACTGCAGGTCACTTGACACTATCTAGAACCTTTACCAATAACATTTCACCAATTAAACACTAATAAGATGTAAATTTAGATGATTAATTCAGGCTCAATAACTTGCGCTCTAAATGTGGCTCATCAGTTCAATCAGAAAAATTATTTAATGTGGTAACAATCAATTGAACTTTCAAATTTGAATTACTTTTAAAATTAAAATAATTAATTCAAAGTATTTTGTTTATTTAAAAGTTGTTAATTTACTTGTTACCACATAAAGTAATTTTTTAGGCTGAACTGATGAGCAATTTTTATGGCGTAACCAAGTCTTAACACAGTTTTTATTGTGTGCAATTACTTCTAATAATGCAGCTTATCAAGATTTTCACACAACAGACATCTAAGTAAGTTCTAATACAGGTCCTAATGAATAAAGTGAATACAGTGAACGGTTTTAAAAGTGTCTAATTTGGACTTTATTAATCAAATAATGAGACCTTAACATATCCTCAATTTGTGTTCCTTAAAATAAAATATTATTATTATTAAAAGTTGACTGAGTGTGTTTGTGGCTGTGTGGGTTTAAACAGGTCTCCAGTCTCTTTAAAGATGGCACCATTGGGACAGATATCAACATCGTGGTCGTCAGTCTGCTTCTTCTAGAGCAAGATCCAGTAAGTTGAAGTTCAGCTGCAGTCAGTTTATAGGCATTGCCATTGTAATCCATGATGTGTGGAATATAATATGCATTTCTACTGTACATATATAAGCGTACTATGACATACGACTATAGAAATATAGAAATGAGAAGAAAGAGAGAAAAGGGTTTTGTACATTAATGAATGTCGGTGTTACCAGTGGCAGCTACATTTACGTTAGAGATCTATGTTTCATATATGACTTAATAAATAAAAAGAAAATAAAAAAGACTTTATAGTTCATAGTTTAGGCGGCTCATATCTTTTTTTCTAGTATTTATATATATATATATATAATACTATATCTCCATTTTTGTCATTTTCCAGTTTTTTGACATTATTTGAAAAGGCCTGTTGTCCTTTACATTGTGTGTAAATTTCATGATGAATGGACCAAAAGAAACGACCCAAAATGACTTGAAAATATTTCTGGTTCCATTGACTTACATTAAAAGTAAAGTATGTTTTTCCCTTCTCCTGTAAAGTTACCATTTTGGAGATACGAGGTTTTCTTCTAACATCAGCGATAAGTGTGTGTATAAATAAATATATATATATATATATATATATATATATATATATATATATATATATATTTCAGTCTGAGGTCAATTCATTTTAACATGAACTCTTTATGCTTTAGAATCCAATAGGCTGTTTTTGTTACTGTCCCTTTAAGTCTCATATATGTTAATGAGCTCTGATCTAATTGGCTCATTCTGACTTGTATAGAAGGCAGTCAGGGCTGAAACACTCACTATATAACTTAAGTGAGAGTAGGTGGAGCTACATTGCTGTATGCCAAATAAGCACATGCATGTAAATGAGTTGTGACATCACAAAACCTGTAAAATTAAGATGCAGCTCAGTTTCCATATACAGCCTGGGCAGAACGCTGGACGGAAACTTTAACAATGTTTACACTGTACATCTTTAATTTAAAAAAATGGAGGTAAAATGTGTTTTTTCATAATATTTGCCCTTTAATATGCTCTGTCTTCATGTTTTTGCTCACTGTCTCATCTCTGTTCACCTCGCTCTTTCTCTCTCGCCCTGGTTTCAGCTGGGACTGTCCATTAACCACCATGCCGACCAGTCTCTGAACAGCTTCTGCCAGTGGCAGTCGGGGCTGCTGGGTAAAAGCGGCAAACGGCACGATCACGCCATTCTTCTGACTGGCCTGGACATCTGCTCGTGGAAGAATGAGCCGTGTGACACTCTGGGTGAGGCTCATCTAAATGCCTACAAATGTCCCCTGAGGTCAGTGCGTGGGATTAACCCAGGCCAAATGGACACTGCACTGAAACAAGTGACACATTGGATCACTTTACTCCGATGTGCGCATCATTTCCACATGAATAATATATTTTACATCAACACAGCTATTGCCAGAAATATTGTGGCAATCTACTATCATGTCAGTGTAGTGACTCAATACCTATGAATCCCTTACAAATAACGCACTCTATAGACACTTCTAACATCTTAAATGCCGTACATAGTGCATTATAATGCACATAACTTTTCATAAGTGGCATAACGGAGTGCAAAGCAGAAATAAACAGGGAGTGGACAAAATAACGAAGGCTACATTCATATTACAGGCCTCATTGCTCAGATCTGATCTCTCTAACATGATGGTCCACACTTATTTGGTTAAGTGACTCAAATCTGTCATTAATGTGAGCGAACCAGCGTCCAGAAATGACCCGCATGAGCTCATCCTACTCAGTAACGTCACGAAGAGCAAACAAACTAACGAGCAGAACGAGTTTCGCTGAGAAGATAATTAACTCTGATCAGCTCTCAGCTTCATTACTGGAGCGAGACGGTGGAGAAGAAGGTGAGATGAGCTGCTTTTCCATTATTTACAGGCTTTATCTTCTGTTTGGCGCTGCTGCCATGGTAACACTGAATGACTGCACACATGCAGTGGGAAAAAAAGCACATGAATTCCGATCTGAGCGTCAAATTAAGGTCACATGGTCGCAAATCAGATCTATGACCACATTTGAAAGTGGCTTAGGTCGGATTTGAAAATATCAGATTTGTGTTCACACAGCCCTGAAAACATCAGATCTGAGTCACATTAGGGCAAAAAATCATGTGAAAATTTGTGCCACTTCAGCCTGGTAATGTAAACATAGCCAAAAAACACCACATAAAACACTCGTATTCACTGGCCATTTTATCAGAAACACCTGCCATATGGTGTGAGGGATATGTAAGTGGACAATTAAGGTGTACGAATGTTGATGTTTGAGGCATGTGTGCGATGATTTAGACATGCAATTTGCAGAATGCTAATTAGCATGATGCTAAAAAGCTTACAGCTCTGGTTTACTAAGTTAGCCTTTGATCTTCAGCACAAAAACAAAAAAGCAAATTATAGTTAAATACTGGGTACTTACTGCATTAATTTCACAGTGATTTACCAAACCATATTAACAGTAACTGTAGAATAGTAAAGGTGTACTGTGACTCCACATTCACCTACAAGATTACTGTGATGCAGCTGTTACTCTGCTGTAGAATTACAGTAATACTCCTGTATTTTTACAGAACAGCTGTAACGGTAAAGCAGCTCAGTAGACAGTAATTCCTTATAAATTCCCCATGTTGTCTCAAATATGATATGCATTCTCAAAATGCAAATACATTTCACAGATGATATATATATATATATATACACATCGCTGTTGTCGGAAGAAAACCTTGTATCTCCAAATTAGTAACTTTGTAGAAGAAGGAAAAAACACCTTACTTTTAATGTAAGTCAATGGAACCAGATTTTTTTTCAAGTCATTTTGGGTCGTTTCTTTTAGTCCATTCATCAAGAAATTTACCCATAATGTAAAGGACAACAGGCATTTTCAAATTATGTCAAAAACTCAAAAATGACAAAAATGGAGGTATGAGGTTTTCTTCCGACAACAGCGATATATATATATATATATTTACATTGAACCCTTTTCAACAAGAACCATCTACAGCACATTCTCCATCAATCTAAGGGGACCATTTAGCAATGCGAAGAACCCTTTAATCATGCAAAGTGTTCTTAGACTGTTCTAGTTTCTATGTAGACCATTTACATTACTAAAAAACCCTTGAAGAACCACCATTTTTAAGCATGTACAGGACAAGAAAGCGTTTTTTTACCAATATGTCGATTCACACTGGATTAAAATAACCTGAGGTTGTTTCTACAGCTTATTTTATAGAAGCTAAAAGGCGTCAGAATCTTTACTGATGTGGGAGAGCTGTCTGTAAAAATGTCTGACATGGTGCATTCAGACGTGATTACAGTTACTGAGTAATGCCAGTAAAAATGATATTACCCACCTCCTCCTGTAATTAATCCCATCTGAATAGGCCTTTAAATTACAACCTGAATCATCAGCTCAGCGTCAATGCCACAGAGCTCATTTGCTCTGTGTTTACAGAAAATGTCTTAAGATGAGCACAATAAAATGATGACTACACTAATAGTAATAAAGGTTCTGTTCAGGTACATTTCTCGTTCATCAAGGTACAAACAATGTAAATGTTCCCTCAAAGGTACAACAGTGGTTTAAGGTCTGATTGTGAACCTTAAATAAGTTTTTCCAGGTGAAAAGTTTCGTATTTATACCTTTTCATAACCGAATGTTTTAAACAGAACAGTAAAATAAAAGCCTGGAGACGAGACGGGGTGTGTGGAGTCAGTACAGCTTAGAACATATCATTTCAGTGGATTATGGTTCAGTTATGTTCCCTGACTAAAGGTACTGAGATGGACCCTCGAGGGAACCACCCCAGTGACAAGAGGGGCACTGCCCCAGTGACAGTCTAGTACCTTTATTTCTGAGAGCGTACAGTATTTCACTGTGAAAATCTTGTGTTAAACGTTGTTAAATAATCTACAGTGTATATTTGGAGATAAAATTGTTTGATTTCACGCCAAAAACGTGATAGGCAGTGATAAAAATGTTTATAATGTACTCGCTCATAGCGAGCAGGTTTACGTGGAACTCGCACTGGGTGGGATATGGCTGAGCGTAGCCCGGGGCAGGGGACTTTGCCTGGGTAAAACCCCCCGTAATGAACCATCACTCCACTAGAACAGTCGACTGGCAGCCTCCCGCGCTTCACTCCGCACAGAGGCATCGGCCAAACATGCCAAACCACAGGCATGCGTGGCTGTAGATGCGAGTTGGAGGGGAGAGGTTTGTTTTGGTTTGCACTGTGTGTGATGTGTAACTCAACCCGCTGCTTTGTCTTCGTCTCCTGAGCGTACGCACTGGCTTTTGAGATCGTAACGGTTGTGTGGATCCACGTTCTGCTTTTTGGGTTTTGGATGAAGAGCTTTTAATGTTCTGGTGCTGTAGAAAACATGCTGTAAGTCCAACTTAGGACTGCACAGTACATCGGAACAAAACCTTGTATCTCTATTTTTTACATTTTTCAGTTTTTGACATAATTTGAAAATAGCTGTTGATTGTTACATTGTGTGTAAATTTCATGATGAACCGACAGAAAGAAACAACCCAAAATGACTTGGAAAAAACTCTGGTTCCATTGACTTACATTATAAGTAAAGTATGTTTTTTCCTTCTCCTGTAAAGTTACCATTTTGGAGATATGGAGTTTTGTTCCCGCACAGTGATATGCAAAATGAGCCAATCTTGGTCTTTTATACCGTGTGTTATGAGCATCCTGACCAATCACAGTTCCATATGAGTGTCTGTGGGTGATTTAATGAATTAGGGAATTCACACAATCCAATAAACTCATGCAATTTTCACCTGCTTTGGGGCTGTTCATTAAAAATATTAGAGATGATTTATTATTCTGCTGGAGGAATGGCCACCAGGGGGGCTGCAGAAAGAGGTTGAAGAGAAATCCCACAAAGTTTTCAAAATTTCTGCATAATTCAGTGTTTAAGATGTAAACAGAGTGATTCAGAGTGGTTTGGTGTGAAATGGTTCAGATGTCTTTACAGTGGTGGTGATGGGAACCAGGCGTCGCCATGACTACAACACAAATATAGACATTTAATTTACTATCCAGAACCACCAGTGAACCTACATGAGTCTTCTGAGTTTATATGGAATGTAGTAACTTTCTGTGAGGGAGCTTTTAGAGGTGGACGTCTGGTTCCTATCACCACCACTGTGAACAATTCTGACTCAGTAAGTTTCTCTAGAACAGAGCGTTTCACACCAAACCACTCTGAACGACCCTGTTTACATCTTTGCATGTCAGACTGGGGACCTTCTGTGCCAAAGTGCTGTGGATATTAGCATTTACCCCTTTCTGACGCTCTGGATTCAGTACATGAAGGCTTTGCTAATTAGCTGATGAGCTGAATCAGGTGTGTTTAATAAGGCAGAGTGCTGAAGTCTGCAGTGTTTTGGCCCGCAGTGACTCGAGCCTGACATGTGTGATCTTAACCAATCAAGTTTTGAGAATTTGTTGGATTTTTAAATTGTTTTTATTTGTTAGTAAAATTATTTTGTTGAAAATTCTTCATACACACTGAGATTTCTTTCCTTCATCATTTTTTTCTTTTGCTGCAGGTTTTGCCCCCATCAGTGGGATGTGCAGCAAATATCGCAGCTGCACCATAAACGAGGACACTGGACTGGGCCTCGCCTTCACCATCGCCCATGAATCTGGACACAAGTACGTACATGAACATAAACACACACGCACACACACAAACACACACACACACAAACACATATACAGAATATTTCATTAATGGCTCATGCACACATATTTGTGCATAATTAAGTGGTTGAGATGTAAACAGAGTCGTTCAGAGTGGTTTGGTGTGAAACGCTCTGTTCTAGAGAAACTTAGTCAGAACTGTTCACAGTGGTGGTGATAGGAACCAGACGTCCCCCTCTAAAAGCTCCCTCACAGAAAGTTCCTACATGAAATGGTTATGAATTCACTGCCTGATGACTGAGACACTGTTTTGTGATAGTTTCGAGAAGCTTTGGCCTTAAAACATTTTTTAATTCTATTCATTGTGGAGGGATCAACACAGGGTGTCTGTTTTTCAAACACACAGTGGGGACAAAAAGTCTGGAAATACTTTAAAAATCTTGGATTTTTTTTTCATTTAAACCTGTAAATAAACAACAAACTTTTAGAATTCTGAAATATTTAAAACAAAGACAAGTTACGACAAGTAAAATAATCAAGAAATATTCAAGATTCTGAGTGGTTTGGTGTGAAATTCTCCCATTTCAGAGAACTAAGTCAGAACTGTTCACAGTGGTGGTGACAGGAACCAGACGTCCACCTCTAAAAGCTCCCTCACAGAAAGTTACTACGTGAAATGGTTATGAATTCACTGCCTGATGACTGAGACACTGTTTTATAATAGTTTTGAGAAGGTTTTGGCCTTAAAAGCCTTTCATGGTGGAGGGATACATGCAGGGCACTGTGAGGCAAAATAGTCCCTAAAGAAAACTCATTATTTCAGATTTTCCACTATTTTCCATCATCAACATTCCATATAAACTCAGAAGACTCGTGTAGGTTCGCTGGTGGTTCTGGATAGTAAATAAAATGTCTATATTTGTGTTGTAGTCATGGCGACCCCTGGTTCCTATCACCACCACTGTAAAGACATCTGAACCATTTCACACCAAACCACTCTGAATCACTCTGATTACATCTCAACACACTCAGTTATGCAGAAATTTTGAAAAATCAGTGGAATTCCCCTTTAAGGGTTAATATTTGTTGGAGGGTGTTGGAGTCGGGATCAGTATAGAACTGAACTCAAACATTTGCAGCAGGTTTAGACGTGTGACTTATTAAATATCTTCATGCACACATTATTATTACCTCATCCTCTTTATTGCAATGCACAAAACCATATGCAGCGCCGGCGGCAGCGGGAGAGTGTTTGTGTTTACACGTTTCCATCGAGAGGAAGTTTATATTTGACAGGAGATTTCAGTTTTATGGCAAGTTGTTTTTTCAATGGCTGGCAGGCTGTCAGTGTAAACCGGAGAGAAGCACCAGGCTGCTAAATTGCTAGAAAGGCTTGTCACTTTAAATGGTTTAATCACTCCAGTCAAACAAAGAGAAATCATTACGAAAACGTGTAAAATTGCTTCAGGGCTCAAAACGAGCCTTTCTCATCCAAAAGCCATTAATCAATGACAAATTTGGATGATATAATTTCAGAAGACTTGATGCAGTGCTGCACATATGCTGGCCATGACTGCTTTTATTCAACAAACATGCATGTTTATTAAGGAAATGGTGAATACAAGCTGGAGAATGTGTACAGTCATCTCTGGAAATCTGAAGGATTTTATAGAGTTTCATGTAATAAAAAGCTCGGCTGGGTTATGGAGGTGAAGTCCCACCTGATTTCGGGAGTGGCTTTAGACCTGAGGCTCTGTGTTAATAGTCTCTGTGGGAAAAGCTTTTCTCTCTCAGTCTCTTTTTTCCTCTCTCTCCATCTGTCTTACCCCAGTTTTGGAATGATCCATGACGGAGAGGGGAATCCCTGTCGGAAAGCCGAGGGAAACATCATGTCTCCCACTCTGGCTGGAAACAACGGGGTCTTCTCTTGGTCTGCCTGCAGCCGCCAGTATCTGAGCCGCTTTCTGGGGTAAGATCTTCACTAGCGTTCAAAAATTTAGAATCACGGTTCAAAAATGGGGAATCTCAGTGCAACAATGTTGGATTATTGTTGGAATATATCTTCAACAGTTTGGAGTCACAGTTTGAAAATATAGAAGCATCATTTTAAAGTTTGCAAGCACAGTAAACAAACATTGGAATCATTGTTCAACAAAAAAAAGAATCACTTTCAATATTTGGAATTACTGTTCAAAAAACAACATCTTGAATTAAGAATCCAAATTCAAAAATGTGGGAATCTCTCCTTAAATATTTGGTAAGATCTTTCAAAAACCTAGAAATCACAATTCAAAAATTTTGAATCACTGTTCTAATCAAACTAATATGGTAGCAAATAAATGTATAAAAATGTACTAATACGATTCTAATACTCTATGACTTCACAACATCTTGAATCAAGCATCCAAATTCAAAAAATTGGAATCACTCTTCAAATATTTAGTATCATTTTTCTAAAACTTTGGAATCACTATTCAGAAATTTTGAATCACTGTTCCATCAAACTAATTTGGTTGCAAATAAATGTACAAAAATGTACTAATAAGATTCTTCACAACATCTTGAATCATCAAAAATGTGGAATCATTGTTGAAAAGTTTGGAATGACTGAACAGTTTGGATTCACTGGTCCAAAATTTGGGATCATTCTTCAAAAGTTTGGAATCGTATTTTACAAATTTGAAATCACTGTTCGAAAAATTGCAATTACTTTCCAAAACTTTGAATCACTGTTCAAAATTTCAGAACGACAGTTCAAAAATTTGTGCTATGTTAATGTACATGTGTTTATTTATGAGTGTGTTGTTGTGTGTGTTATTCACAGTACAGCTCAGGCCTCCTGTCTGGTGGATGAACCCAAGCTGATTGGTCAGTATAAATACCCTGAGCAGCTCCCGGGGCAGCTCTATGATGCGGATACACAGTGCAAGTGGCAGTTCGGCTCCAAGGCCAAACTCTGCAACCTGGACTTTGTGAAGGTAAATTACAAAGTTCTTACGTATCTTTAGGAGACACATTCATCATCTACCAGTGATGTATTTTACTGGAAGTCGTTGTATCATATTTTAAAAAGCTACAGTCTACAATTATACACTCATACACCGATCAGCCATAACATTATGACCACCTCCTTGTTTCTACGCTCATTGTCCATTTTATCAGCTCCACTTACTATATAGGTGCACTTTGTAGTTCTACAGTTACAGACTGTAGTCCATCTGTTTCTCTGATACTTTGTTAGCCCCCTTTTACCCTGTTCTACAGTGGTCAGGACCCCCATGGACCCTCACAGAGCAGGTACTATTTGGGTGGTGGGATCATTCTCAGCACTGCAGTAACACTGACGTGGTGGTGGTGTGTTAGTGTGTGTTGTGCTGGTCTGAGTGGATCAGACACAGTAGTGCTGCTGGAGTTTTTAAACACTGTGTCCACTCACTGTCCACTCTATTAGACACTCCTACCTTGTCAGTCCACCTTGTAGATGTAAAGTCAGAGACGATAGCTCATCTGCTGCTGCACAGTTTGTGTTGGTCATCCTCTAGTCCTTCATCAGTGGTCACAGGACGCTGCCCACAGGATGCTGTTGGCTGGATATTTTTGGTTGGTGGACTATTCTCAGTCCAGCAGTGACACTGAGGTGTTTAAAACCTCCAGCAGCACTGCTGTGTCTGATCTGCTCGTACCAGCACAACACACACTAACACACCACCACCACGTCAGTGTTACTGCAGTGCTGAGAATGACCCACCACCCAAATAGTACCTGCTCTGTGAGGGTCCATGGGGGTCCTGACCACTGAAGAACAGGGTAAAAGGGGGCTAACAAAGTATCAGAGAAACAGATGGACTACAGTCTGTAACTGTAGAACTACAAAGTGCACCTATATAGTAAGTGGAGCTGATAAAATGGACAATGAGCGCAGAAACAAGGAGGTGGTCATAATGTTATCCCTGATCGGTGTGTAGTGGAAATATAAAGTAGCTGGAACTTATAAAGTGGACATGGAAGTACATGTGTAAGGTTTCTGATAAAATGGCCAATGAATGTAACCTAAAAATGGAAACTATTAAATAAGATGATATGTTTCTTTACTTTTGGATGTCTCCTCCTACTCTGGTAACAGCCCAGACAGAGATGAAAGTTCTTTTTATGTCTGTTATACAATATATTTTCTATATTATCGTTTACTCTTCCTATTTTCAACAGACAGACCAATGTAGAGGCCCACTGAGAACTCCCAGACTGAAATATCTTGACTTAATTGACTCTCTGGTCCTGTTAGTCGCATTGTGATTCATCGTCTTCAGTCAGTACGCACTTGTTGATTTGGAGGAGTTTGTTTCCCAACTTTCCGCGCCAGAATCCCATTCATAACATTCCAGTAGAGGACACACTGGGGCCTCCGTTGGCATCCTCCATACCCTTAACATCTGATTCATACATTGATATGTAAATGTCGAGTGCAGAAGACTGAGGCCCTTGGGCTTGGGAAGTGAACCTGCGTGGGTCACTTCGCAGGATTAGCCGTTGTGCTACAGCCTGTTTCTTTCAAACCGTCCTAAACAACCTTTGTTTGGCTCCTGTAAACCATCCACTTCTTCTTGAATTGTGTTTTTTGGACTTCCCAGGAAGGCAGTACATCTTAAAGCGATAGTTTGGAGACGAATCAACTTAACGCAATTTTCTTCTTACTTACTACAACTGTAGTAAATCAGCCAGGACATGTTGGGAGTATGTGAAGTTTGCTTCTTTAGTTTTATACGGGACCTCCAAGGCTAATGTGGCTAACAAATGAAGAAAGCTTATACCAACCAATTAGCATTGTGCTAAGTGCAAACATGTTGAGTTGTTAAGTAATCCCAAATGGACTTACTTATCATTGTTTTCCATCATATCCAAAATTTAACTTTAATGTAATGTAAGAGGTTTTATTCCAAGTGATTTCAGAAAATTTCTATTGGTCCACTCGTCATTTTCACACAATGTACAGGACAGCTGCCGTGTTTAATTGATGTAGAAAACAAAAATTGTCAAAAATGGAAACATTTGTCTTTGTACAGTGCCGTTGTGTGCTTTTCTGATGCTGCGTGACTTATTATTATCCATATGTAATGAGGCAGAAATAACTCAGACGCTCGCGGATAAAGAAAGAGAGTGAGGCTTTAATGTTTGAGTCGTAATCCAAAATCGTGGTCAAAAAACAGGCAGAGGTCAAATCCAGCAAAGGCAAGAAACACACAAAGACAAACATAACAAGGTGAACAAAGTCCAAAGGGCAAAGGCAAAAAGGGCAGAGAGTCAAAAACCAGAAAATCACAATAGACAGAAGAAAATACGGCTCAGTAGCTCTTGGAAAAAGAAGCAATACCTCGCATTGAACGAGCCTAAAAGCCCAGGCTTTATACTAAACTAATTATGTCAGAACAGGTGTAACCAGTTAATACTCAGGTGACAGAGAGTGGTGATTGGAGCAAGATGGACGCTTGAGAACCATGTGATCCCCCTGGGGATTCTGGGACATGGAGTCCCTAGAGACCGCTGAGCCTGAGGGATGCGTGACACCATAAAACAAGACAAAATAGCGTGTTGCATATAAAAGCTTTTCTTGGTGCCTGTTTTGTCCATTTCATCTGCGGTAAAGGCTGAATTGCGCAAGTTTGATTTATCGCTTCATTTTAACAGGATTACGGCTGATAGTGCCCAGTGTTTTTGTTTTCTTTTTCCCACTTGTGTTGAGTGTCCTCGTCACGTAGCGCTAGGGGAGTAATTAGCGGTGGGTTCCGACGTAGCGGCAGTAGATTAGCGCAGTTGGGCCGGCTTCAGCGATCCATGCTTCTCTTTCAGCGCCTGCCAGATGCCTCGGGCCGGCGGCCAGCCGTGGAACAGCTCCCAAAAACCCTCTCGTTCTGTCACTCCCGCTGCATTGTGGGAAGATGGCAAATGCTACAATAATAGCATGTTTCTTTTGGGTGGTGTGATGATTGCGTATGACGGGCCTTTTTTCTGTTTGGCTGAGGATGAGCGACAATGCAGTGCTGGCTTCTTTGTCCTGTCATTCTCCTCTCAGCTTTAGCCCCATGTTCCATTTCTTCTTCTTACTGACTTCTCCGCCGCTCTTCCGATCGTCGTCCCTGCACATTGTAGCACGAAGGAAGTTTGGAGTGTGATAAATTTTAGCTAACCCTTTTAACACTTTCAAACACGGAGTCAGGAGAGGCTCATTGGGGTGGTTTATATGTTAGGTAGATAACTTAACAACCTTATTAACAACCAGGCTGAACTAATCTACACAGCTAGCTGACATTAGTTACTGTTAAAGCTGCTAGTTTTAAAGGGCTTTTTACTGAAGTCATTTGAAACTGACTGGCACAGACAGCAAACACAACAAGCTGCTGATGTATCTGAACGTATTGTTTATGGTTGATGGAGTTGCACTTGGCCATTGGATTAGGATGAAACATTGGAATGCCTTAGCATGTTGCACGGCTTGATGTTTACGGTTTATGTACAGTATATGTGCGGATATGGCACTGCCTGTCGTCTACATTTTATAGAAAGTATATGTCAGTTTGCGGAGAGGCGCACGGCATTCTGGGAGTTCCCCAGTTAGCCCAAACTTTAAGTCCAGTGACGACGCCACAATACATTATCAGTTTATATTCATAATATATACACAATACAGCATATGTGGTGATATTACACTGACTGAAGTCTACAGTTTATATGTATAGTGTACATCTGTATATATGAGTTTGCATATATATATATATATATAATAGACCTCAGGTTAAGCATTAACTGCTCTATACTGTAAGCAAACTGATATATACATATATATAACTGATATATATGGCACTAGTTGACATCTACAGCTACTATACAGAATATATCAGTTTGTATACAGTATAAATCTGTAAAACTGTTAATTTACAGTTATGTATTATCTGATATTTACAGTATATATGCTGAGGTTGCATTACCTAGAGTCCAGAATTTTTATGTAGTGTATATCAACACTACAGTTTGTATACAGTATACATTGGTTAATATACAGTATGTGTCAATTTATATATAACACTCAACAAATCAGTTTACATACTGTATACATATATATATGTTGATGTTGCATTACCTGCAGTCTGGGTGTTATATGTAGTTTATATCAGTATGTATGGGTTTGTGTACAGTATACATCAGTTTATATAGAGTATATAGGGATATGGCACTGGCTGGCATCTCCAGTTTAAATACTGTCCATATCAGTTCATTTACAGTAAATTTCAGCATATATAAGCAGTATTTGTGGTGATATTGCATTGTCTGAAGTTTATATGCAGTATGTATCAGTTTATATACAGTAGATATGAGGAAATAGCATTGTCTGCAGTCTACTGCCTTTGCTTTCCTGTATTTGAACGCAGGATTGTGTTTGCTCTCTTTAGGACATCTGCAAGTCGTTGTGGTGCCACAGGACGGGGCATCGCTGTGAGACCAAGTTCATGCCCGCTGCGGAGGGCACCATCTGTGGGCCGGACATGGTGAGTGAGAGGGTGACCTTTGACACCACCAGATACATTTAATGTAGAGTCCATACTAGTGTATATTGACATGACTCACGGAGACAGACTCGTTATAAATATGTTTAATTATGCGTATATATACACACACACTATATACAGTACTGTGAGCTGATCAGTGATCTCTGACTTACTGTATCTACATATGCACATTCTCTCTCTCTGCCACACACACCCCTGCACTGGTCAGTGTGTGTGTTAAACACTGTGAGGACGCGGTTCCCTGCTCCTCTTTCTGCTCTGTAAGCTGAGAGGCTGTGGGGGGGTGAATGGGAGGGGGTCCCAATCTACCACACTCCGAAATTCACTCTCACTTTACCTCACTTTCTCTTAAACTCTCTTTCTCTCTCTCTTATTTATTCTTTATTTTTCCCTCTCTCTCTCCCTGTCTCTCACACACTCTCTCTCTCTCCATCTCTTGCTCTGTCTCTCTCCCTCTATCAATCTACAGCACATTCTCCATCAATCTGAAGAACGCTTTTGTGAGGGTTCTTTCAGTGTTCATGGTTCCATATGGAACCATTTTCATCATTTTAGAGTGTAGGTAATTAAGTATGTAATAATGTAATTATTTAAGCAATAGAACACTCGAGGTCGCATGTTATCGCAAATAACACCACGGGCTGTGATTTGGTCGCCGTAGATCATCACAGCCGTGATGTTATTGGCGATAACATGTGACCTCGAGTGTTCTATTGCTTTGATACAACAGTTCAATAAATAAAGTAATAAATTAATAAACTGGGCCGTGAACGCGGCGTTTAATATGTTTTAATGTTCGCAGTTCCTTCACCAAATTATAGTTCCTTAATGAGCAGCTTGTTGCTACGTCAGAGTAACGAGCTCCGCCCACTCGCTGCACAGCCGGCAGTTCGTTCTCCAGCTCCTTACACTAAATTCCCAAACTGTCATCACCACTGAGCAGCTCTTCAGTCGGCAGCTGTGACAGAAGAACAGCTAAACAACCTGGAATCAGCCAGAAATGAACCCAATACCATTCGCCAAACGTGTAGTCTGATCTTCAGAGTCTGACCAAATCGGACTGAGCCATAAAACTGCCGCAATATCAAGTTCAGCTCAGTTTTGTTATTTTTTGCCAGATCAGTATTAATGTTGTTTTGTTCCAGCCAGTCTGTAAAGCATCTTACAGCCCATTTAGTTTGGCGAATGGTATTGGGTTCATTTCTGGCTGATTCCAGGTTGTTTAGCTGTTCTTCTGTCACAGCTGCCGACTGAAAAGCTGCTCAGTGGTGATGACAGTTTGGGACTTTAGTGTCGTCTCATCTTCAGAGTCTGACCAAATCGGCTGTCGGTCAAATGTGATCTTAAAAGTGTCCATTTTCTGTTTGTGGCAAAGTAAGGAGTTAAAACAGCTGTCAAAGTTGTTGCTTAGCAACGGCGTCTCAGTGGAGTGATGATATAGTGTTTGTGAAAAAAACGTGATGTTATGGCGAAATTAGAACGCTTCTCAACCAATCAGCTTGCGTGGCCGGAACTAACTGTTGTATAAATCTAAATAACAACTCCAAACTAATGCCTTGTTTACAAGTTGGCGGAAAACAGACGACTGTAAACCTGATATTCTAATGTTTTTAATGGAGCAGCAACAGTTCTGCCATGATTCTGCCAGCGGCTGCTTTCCACTGAGCGCAGCGATCAAGAGTTCAGTTTTCCAGATCGTGATGGTGGAATAAACCAGATGTTGATTTTTTTTGGATACATGAGAGCGGAGTGTTTGTAGTGAAGTCCAGGCAAACCTGATCATGCACTGTGAAAAGTGTCTCGTCAGATCTACTTAAAAAAATAACTGTATGTGGTAACAAGCAATTGAACTAGTTTCGTTCAGCAATTTCAAAAAATTTGATTCTTTCAAAGTAGATTTTGAAGTTGAATACAACTAGTTCAATTGCTTGTTACCACATGAAGTCATTTTTTTAGGTAGGTCTGACGAGACACTTTTCACAATGTGTACATCAACTCCTTAAGGCTGACTGTAGCACACTATTAGAAACATCAGCATGTGTTCAAAACATTAACGCTATCACCATGGCAACGTCTACAGGACTTCTTGCCGCTGTCAGTTGTTTAGACCAAATCAGAACGTTTGTAAATACACTGGTTGGCTATATTTCCGGGTGGATAACATGCGTCTAATCAGCATCTAAGCAGCTCAGTTTATGGGACAATTTACAAAATTCAAACATAAGAGACAAAACATCGGCAGTAAAAGTCAAATCTTGTTGTGTTTAAGGCTGTAATGTCAAACGTTCCAAAGTATGTCACTGATTTTACCTACATTTTCTTGTATTCCAGCAGATAAAGCTGCTTTAAGTAGTATTAACAGTAGTACTGTATCACTGCAGCGCTACCTGCGTTCTCCACCCGGACGTAAGTTCTACAGTTGTGATGTAACACTGATCATCATTGTGATGTGACGGTCGATTCTGGCATGAGGGGCGGATCAACATGTAATTACAGCATAAGGGTTAAACTGGTTCTGGAGGGCTGGTGTCCAGCACAGTTTGGTGGTTCCCCTTCTCAAACACAGACAAACCAAACCTGGCAATTAGCAGAAGAGTGTAATCAGGTGTGTTGGAGCAGGTAATTCACCAAACTCTGCTGGAGTCCAGCCCTCCAGGACTGGACTTGTGCATCTCTGGGTTATAAACCATCACCTGACCGTTGAGCAGACTGCATAGAAGGCCTTGTTCCAAAAATACAAAGCCAGGTTTTCTAATTTTATTATGTGTAAATTATTGTGTATTAGTAATTGTGGTTAAAGCAGTTTTAGGCTGTTCTCAGTGTATTTCTGTCGTCCACTAATGCAGTGGTGTCGGAAGGGTCAGTGTGTGAAGCTGGGGGATCACGGCCCGAAGGCGGTCCACGGACAGTGGTCCGGCTGGTCAGAGTGGTCCGAATGTTCCAGAACCTGCGGGGGAGGGGTGATGTACCGGGAGCGATCCTGCAACAGCCCCAGGTAAATAAAAACCAACGGCATCTCAACACCCTCACTGACAGCACCTAACGAATGGGGTCAAACTGGCAGGAAGAACCTAAACTAATGCAAAAAAATCATATTTATGTCCTCCATGTCCAAAAATGTCAAAAATTCATTCTCCCACAAATTTTAGAGCAGAGAGTGTTGAGTCATTCTATGGAAACGTCCATTTTTGTGTCCCTAGCATTTACAGATATATTACACTTGAAAAAACATGTTTGGGTTACAATTTATTTATATTTTAAAATAAAACAATACGTTATTTTAACAATTACACCTTATTGAGCCTCAATTTAGCAATATTGGTTTTTAAATCAACCGTATAGAATTCCAAGCACCACAGAAGAGCTCGTCCTCACAGTCATGTGTGAAGGCTGAGGCCATATTTTGAGGTGAAAACATGTTATTTTAACTACAATAATCTATACATGACTATGAAATATATGATTTAAATGACATAAAGAAAACAAATGACAAATAAATATTATAAAATATATAATGAAAGTTGTGGCCCCCAGGAGTCGTGTCACTGGTGTTACTGCGTAACAAAAAATCTCTTATTTTGAAATAAATGTCACACCGATGACATCACGACTTCTTTTTACCTGTTGTCTGAGGATCTATGAAGAAAAGCTCATGGTGAGTCCACTGAGTCTTTCATTTATCAGAGATTTTCTCATTTAGCTCATGATTTCATATGAAGCTTTTAGCTGAAGTCACTGGTGTGACCGACTTTATTCTGAGGTAACTGTGAAAAAATAGAATATAAATGGATTAAATTACATATTTTAGTGGATATTCCATGATTAACAACATGTGGTTTGATGCTCTGTAGGCGTTATTTTGTAAAATGCATTGTTCATTAAAAATGTCTCTGGTGTTTCCTTTATTATGTGGAACACCAGTGAGGATCAGTAACACCAGTGACTCCTATGGATGGATAGAAAAGTGGACGTTTCTGTAGAATGACCTTTTACTAAACTGAAAATGAAGTGGACAGATGAAGTGCAGTGATGTCCACTCTCCCTCCCAGCCTTCTCCCAGCTCTGATTCACACAGACAGACTCCGACTGCACATTCCTGTATCTCCTCAGCAGCTTTATTCACTGTGAAAGTGAATGAGCTGTCCTGCTTTATCTATTCTGAATGGTCAGTGGTTGAATTAGATTTGAAGGCTAGCTGACCCGGTGCCTCTCAGACGCTCTGGGAAAGGCAAGAAACAGCTAATCTCAGATTAACCGCCGTCTGCTCCTCTGGAGGAGCTTTGTTGACCTCAGACTGGACGAAATGCCGTATTTTGAGGAACAACATATGAAAAGTCGGTCATGTTTCTGCAGAAGAATTGAACTGATCACTGCAGGGTGATGTAAACATTTTCGACCTAAAATGTAAACATTCTGAGTTGCTGTAGATGAAAATCAAGGCATTTTGTGCTGAAGTGTTTGTATACAGTGTGAGCAGATCTAAAGGATCAGCTCAGTGGTTCCTCTTTCTCAGGTGATACGTACCATTTAAAGTCCATTTAAAGCGTAAACTGCAGATCTGTTTTAGTGATACGGTTTGTTATCCCCTGACCACTATGAAGTGTTTAGTATCTGTTAAGGATTATTCAGATTCCACTATGAATCACTATGAATTTTTCAGTAACTACTATGAATTTACAATGAATTATTCAGTATCTACAATGAATTATTCAGTATCTACTATGAATTATTCAGTATCCACTATGAATTATTCAGTATCTGCTATGAATTATTCAGTATCTACTATGAATTATTCAGTATCTACAATGAATTATTCCGTGTCTACAATGAAATATTCAGTGTCTACTTTGAATTATTCAGTATCTACAATGAATTATTCAGTATCTTCTATGAATTATTCAGTATCTACAATGAATTATTCAGTATCTACAATGAATTATTCAGTATCTTCTATGAATTATTCAGTATCCACTATGCATTATTCAGTATCTACTATGAATTATTCAGTATCCACTATAAATTATTCACTATCTACTATGAATTATTCAGTATCTACAATGAATTATTCAGTATCTACAATAAATTATTCAGTATCTACTATGAATTATTCAGTATCTGCTATGAATTATTCAGTATCTACAATGAATTATTCAGTATCTTCTATGAAGTTTAGTAACTACTATGAATTTCAGTAACTACTCTAAAATATTCAGTATCTGCTATGTATTAATCAGTAACTACTATAAATTATTCAGTTACTACTCTGACTTACATAACATAAATTTTGTATTATTCCACATGTACTATAAATTATTCAGTCTCACTTTAATTATTCAGTATCTACAATGAATTACATAACATCTATTTTGACTCATTATCTAGTATCTACTATAGATTGCTCAGTAAGTACTGTAAATGATCAAGTAACTACTATGAGTTACTTAATATCTACTTTGAATTATTCCATATTTACTGTAAATGATTCAGTATCTACTATGAATTGTTCAGCATCTACTATAAATTATTAACTTCTATAAATTATTCAGTAACTTATATGTATTACATAATATGCACTTTGAATTATTCTGTATATACTATGTATCATTCAGTGTCTGCTATGAATTATTCAGCAAATAATATGAATTATTCAGTATCTACTATGTATTATTCAGTGTCTAACATAAATTATTCAGTATGTATGTTTCCTCCGGGTTCTCAGATTTCCTCCCACAGTCCAAAGACATGAATTCAGGCAAATTGGAGACACTAAATTGCCCCTTGGTGTGAAAGTGTATGTCTGTGTTTCTGTACTTTGGTGGACTGTCAGCCTGTCCGGGGTGTTTCCTGCTTTCCGCCCAGTGAGCACTGGGATAGGCTCCAGCTCTCCCTGTGAGCCAGGAGGATAAGCAGCTTAGATAATGAGTGATTAATTCAGTACTACTATAAATTATTCAGTGTCTGCTGTATTCAGTATCTGCAGTGAAAGTAATCTGCTTCTGTAGTCGTGAGGGAGGAGTTAAAGTGTGGTCCCACATACGAGAGGGTTAAAAAGTTTGAAAAAGATCCATAACTACATATTTATTAGAATCCAGATTTACCATTAGGCATGTGTGTGTGTGTGTAGGCCAGGTGTTTCCTCTCTGCATGTGTCGGCAGGTATCTGTGAGGAGTTTTAGCTGCAGGTGCTGTTAGATGGAGCTGGATAACGTGAATCGGTTCCTCTTCAGCGTTCGGCTGTCTGTTGGCATCTCTCTGCATTTCTGCCGGAGAGGAAATCCCCTCAGAGTCTCGCGGAGTCAGATCGTTTTCAGACTGAAGAGTGTACTGTGTGTCTTTTCTGAATAAAGGTAAAATCCTCCACTGTCTCTGCTCCAGTTGGCAGAGGGAAAACAGGAGAGCCATAAATTTCTCCTGACAAAGAGAAGCGGCGTGTGTAATGTACTTTACGGTCTTGGTGGGAACCTGTTTGTCCCCATCGTAATACTTTGTTAGTTCTAATGAAGAAATACAACCCCATTTCCAAAAAAGTTGGGACGCTGTGCAAAATGTAAATAAAGACAAAATGCAATGATGTGCAAATAATTTAAACTCTATATTTAACTGAAAATAGTACATAGACAACATATAAGATGTTGAAACTGAGAAATTTTATTGTTTTTTAAAAAAAATGAAGTTCTGCATGTATTACAGCAGCATTGCTCCGTATTAAAAGAGTCCAGGTGCTAAACTGACCTGCCTGCAGTCCAGATCTGTCACCACTGAAAACATTTGGTGCATTATAAAATGAAAAATATGACAAATGAGCCCCTGAACTGTTGAGAAGCTGAAATCTTGTATCAAACAAGAACAGAAAACATTTCACTTTCAGAACTACAGCAGTGTCTCCTCAGTTCCCAAACACTTACAGAGTGTTGTTAAAGAAGAGGTGAGGAAACACAGTGGTAAACAGGCCCCCGTCCCAACTTTTTTGGAACGTGTTGTTGGCATCAAATTCAAAATGGGCAAATATTTAAAAAAAAAAAAACAATAAAATTTCTCAGTTTCAACATTTGATATGTTGTCTTTGTACTATTTTCAAATTATTAAATATAGGGTTTTGGAAATGGGGTTGTAATATCCAGGTATTGTGATATAAACTGAGTCTGTTCTACAGTTTCTCATTAGGTTGAATGAATAACTGACTCTAAATGTAGGTATTGTGATATAAACTGAGTCTGTTCTACAGTTTCTCATTAGGTTGAGATGAATGATCTGACTAAATGTAGGTATTGTGATATAAACTGAGTCTGTTCTACAGTTTCTCATTAGGCTGAATGAATAACCCACTCTAAATGTAGGTATTGTGATATAAACTGAGTCCGTTCTAGACAAATAGACATAATAGCCTTAGCGCAGTAATCCAGGTGAGTGAAATCTGTGTGTTTTGTAGGTTTGTAACTGGCTCCTTGTATATAGTGTGTGTAAATCAGAGAGAAGCAGCTCAGTGTTTCCTCTCCCTTGAAGGACGTTAATGCGTCCCAGAGGAAAAGAGAGAAAACATGCTGAGACAGGCAGAGACATGTGGATCTGCCTATAGCACATAAAATAACCTATAGCCTGCTGGAATAGATGAGTCTGGATGGGTTGTTTAACCCTTAGAAGTTGCAGATTTTTAACAAACCATGCAGTTTTAGATTAATTATTAGGACTCAAGGGAACGAGTGGAGAAACTGTGTAGAAAGTGCAGATTCTAAACTTTCAATCCACACCACATTTGTGTATGTAAGTAAGAGATATTTTATTATGATGTGAATTTGATTTATATTTTTTTTCCATGTTTTTGTGATTATTTAACATCGGAACAGAAAAACGAGACACAAAAATTTGCTAAAAACTGCAAATTAAATACAAATCTAATTAATTTTGTAACTCACTACATAAGTATCTAATTACATATTTGCATTTGAATAGTAGAACAAAACAGCAATAATATGGGTTTGAAGGCTGTTTTGATCT